AGAAGCTGAGGGAAGAAGGGTGATAGGTACTTTTGCCTCATTCTGAAGCCTTGGAAGGAAGTACGCTTTCCCTAGGGGCCCTGCTGAAGAGGATAACATGGAATTTGGAAAGGCCAGGGCTTATGCCCTACCTGAAGGGGCCAAATTCAGTGAAAGGACTGGATCTCTGTTTGGGCAGTAGTTTCACAAGAAGACCTGTAGCTTCAGGGCTGTTCACCTCCCCACCCCCACCCTGCATCTTTCCCCAGGGCTGGAAGGGTGCCCACCAAGGACAAAAGGAGATGTGGGAACTGGGGCCCTAAGCCTGCTAGCTGTCAGAGGGATTGGTGCTACTGTGTTGCCCAGGACCCATGCCAAGGACTACTGCCTTGTTCCTAGCTCCATGCTTGTTGGGAGGTGGGGGTAGGCCATTTGGCCCATATGGCCAGGAGAAGAAGCAGGAGAGGTGGTAGGTCAGGTCCAGCTTTTATATCTTGTCTCTATTCCACAGAGCTGTCACCATGCCCCACTCGTACCCAGCCCTTTCTGCTGAGCAGAAAAAGGAGTTGTCTGACATTGCCCTCCGGATTGTGGCCCCCGGCAAAGGCATTCTGGCTGCGGATGAGTCTGTAGGTAGGTGGGGGGGGCCTGTGGCTAGGTGGGGTAGAGGTAGCCAGAGAGTCCTGGAGGTGAGCTTGCTACCCCTCTTTTGTTTGCCCCCAGGCAGCATGGCCAAGCGGCTGAGCCAAATTGGTGTGGAGAACACAGAGGAAAACCGCCGGTTGTACCGCCAGGTCCTGTTCAGTGCTGATGACCGTGTAAAGAAGTGCATCGGAGGAGTCATCTTCTTCCATGAGACACTCTACCAGAAAGACGATAATGGTGTTCCCTTCGTTCGTACAATTCAGGATAAAGGCATTGTCGTGGGCATCAAGGTGCAGCCACTGGCCCTCGATGGGGCCCGAACATGGAAATAGATGTGTGTGTGTGTGTGTGTGTGTGTGTGGTGACAAGGGGGAATCCTGCCTGGGTTCAGCCCTCTGCCTGTGTTTGCCCTACAGGTCGACAAGGGTGTAGTGCCTCTAGCAGGGACTGATGGAGAAACCACTACTCAAGGTACAGGGTGGGTGGGTGAGGACCACAGGGTTGTTGGATGGTTGATGCTGGCCAAGAGGGGTGGAGTGATGAGGCTGGCATTATGCCTGCAGGGCTGGATGGGCTCTCGGAACGCTGTGCCCAATACAAGAAGGATGGCGCCAACTTTGCCAAGTGGCGTTGCGTGCTGAAAATCAGTGAGCGCACACCCTCAGCACTTGCCATTCTGGAGAATGCCAACGTGCTGGCCCGCTATGCCAGCATCTGCCAGCAGGTGTGTGTATGTTTGTGTGAGGGGGTCCGATGGGTGCCCTGTGCCTAGTGGGGAGAGGGTTACAAGGGCTTCCTCCCCTCCTACCTACTGCCCCTCCCAAGCTACTCTGCTCTTACCTGCAGAATGGCATCGTGCCTATTGTGGAACCTGAAATCCTGCCAGATGGAGACCATGACCTCAAACGTTGTCAGTATGTTACGGAGAAGGTGAGTCCACACCTAGGCACAGACACTTACAGCAAGGGCGGCCTGAGTGGGGAGCCTATTCCCCCTAGTCCCTGGCTCAGATGCAGGCACTTTCCCCAAGCACTCTTTACTCTGCCCCAGAACACACCTGTGAGTTTGAGCCTCTACTGACTCTCACAGTCATGCCCACCTTCCCCTAAAAAGGGAGCACTGAGCAGGGGCCCAGAACCTTAGTAAACCTCCTCTGATCTCCAGGTCTTGGCTGCTGTGTACAAGGCCCTGAGTGACCATCACGTGTACCTGGAGGGGACCCTGCTCAAGCCCAACATGGTGACCCCTGGCCATGCCTGTCCCATTAAATATAGCCCAGAGGAGATCGCCATGGCAACCGTCACTGCCCTGCGTCGCACTGTGCCCCCAGCTGTCCCAGGTACTACCCTGCTTCCTAACTTGCTCCTGTCCCTAAGACCCATTCTCAGGTTCTTGTGGCCTTCATGGGGCCCATACCCTGGAAAATTAGGGAGTTGACCAATCAGTTTGTCTTCTCTTCTCTACCCTAGGAGTGACTTTCCTGTCTGGGGGTCAGAGTGAAGAGGAGGCATCGCTCAACCTCAATGCTATCAACCGCTGCCCCCTTCCTCGGCCCTGGGCCCTTACCTTCTCCTATGGGCGTGCCCTGCAGGCCTCTGCCCTCAATGCCTGGAGAGGGCAACAAGACAATGCTGGGGCTGCCACTGAGGAGTTCATCAAGCGGGCCGAGGTTGGGAGCTAGAGGTGGTGGTTGTGGGAGAGGGCATAGCTAGGCAGGGGGCAGCCCCCGGAGACTATAGCCTGGGCAGGGTTTGCACCTGTGGGCGGCGTCAGCCCGCTTACTCCACCTCCCTCCTACCCCCCACCCTCTTGCAGGTGAATGGGCTTGCGGCCCAGGGCAAGTACGAAGGCAGCGGGGAAGATGGTGGAGCAGCAGCACTGTCCCTCTACATTGCCAACCATGCCTACTGAGTGCGCAGTCCACACTGCAGCCCTTGGCCTGGCCACCTGCACCCTATTTCGCCTATAGTTATGGCCAGGGCCAGATAGCCACGCAGAGCAGAGATGCCTCCAGCCAGCACTGAGTCATCTTCTTTTTCTTGTCCTCCCCTCCCCTCTCCCATTGCTGCACCTGGGACCATTGGATGGGAGGATGGGGTGCCCCTTGTGACTGAGGGCAAGAGAAGTTGCTGGAAGTCAGAGCGGGATGCCTGGGTTTCCCCCTGCCTCCGCCAGCCCCCACAATTTCCCCATGATGTGGTAGCTTTCCTTGCCTGCCCTGTCTCCTGGGATCAGAGTAGGACACCAGAAATGACTCATGCCTTGGGTACATACCACATAGCAAATAAATGGTAGCAAAACATGCTACTTTGTCTGTCTGTTTTACATATCAAATTCCCACCTCAGTTTCTGATTTCCACTGTCTCTGGGCCCTCTGTGGAGGGAGTGGGGGTAGGTTTTGAGATTTACTGAGCTTTAAGTTTATGGGGGAGGGGCACACCCAATCACCATTCCCAGCTCAGGCTCTTGCTGGTGAGGTCCAAGGCTGGAGTATGGGCAGTATGGAGGGCTGCAGGTCCTTCAGGGACTGCCACCTCAGAGGCGCTAGGCTGCAGCTGAAGGATGGAGTAAGGCGAGACTTGTGAAATTCCTGAAGGCAGCTTTTGCGCAGAGCCCAAAACTGGGGTAAGGGGATAGGAGTCTTCCCACTTCTCCACTGTGTTGAACCCTGCCGGGGCGTGACACCTTCTGCTGGGTGTGTGGGGTGGGCACTGCAGGAACAGCACCTGGGCTCCTGCCCAACATGGAAAAGCCCCAAGGCTCAAGACTGCCAGATGGATCAGGGTATCTAGGAGGTTGCCAGGGGCTATTGCCCATTTCCGTTTGGGGGTAGATGAGGGCACAGAGAAGGCCTATTTGAGGGTCTGGGCAAGGATAGGCCTGGTGAGGTTTCGTGCCAAACTTTGACCACTTGGCTGGGGTGTGGGGGTACATCAAACACCTGGGTCTGTCAGAGGGGATGAAAAGATGAGAGAACCTGCTAGGTGTGTTATGTGTGAACTGGGGAGGCCATGCTCTGTGTAAAGTGCTCCACCCAGCTAATTATTGCAATATGGGAATGTAAGCCCAGGGTGACCTGCCCTTATATTAACAAAAATAGATAACACTTACATAGTACTTCTTTTTTTAAAAAAAGATTTATTTATTTGAGAGGGAGAGAGTGCTTGAGCAGGGTAAGGGGCAGAGGGAGAGAGAGAATCTCAAGCCGACTCCCCATTGAGCGTGGAGCCTGACACAGGGCTCCATCCCACAACCCTGAGATCATGCCCTGAGCTGAAACCAAGAGTCAGATGCTGAACTGGCTGAGCCACCCAGGCACCTCTATAGCAGTTACTATGTGTTTCTGGCAGGCCAGGCCCTATTCTAATCACTACATTTACTAACTCATTTACTACAACGCTGTATAAAGTAGATACTATTATTATCCCTATTTTAATATGAGGAAACAGGCACAGAGAGGTTAATTCTCAAGATCACTCAGGTGAAGTGATGAAGTCAGGATTTAAACCTAAGTGATCAGGATCGAGTCTGTGCTCATGAATTTTCAAAAATTTTAAGTATTCAGACTTCTACAAGTTGGAAATGAATTCAAATGAATTAAAAAAAATACTGGTGAGCCAAATATGCTAAAAAGGTACTTGTAGCTTGCCACCTCCATATTTGAGGCTTGAGGAGAGGGTGCCCAGAACAGGAGCTCTATGATAATGGATAAACAGTGATGCCATCGATAGGTGATATTTGGGTGCTTTCCGTGCCAGGATCTTTACATGAATGACCTTATTTTAAAGATTTTTTATTTATTTATTTGAGAGAAAGAGTGAGCGAATGAGAGAGAGAGAGAGAGGACGCGAGAGCACGCACAAGCAGGGGGGAGGAGCAGAGGGAGAGGGAGAAGCCGACTCACCGCTGAACAGGGAGCCAGATGTGGGGCTCCATCCTGGGGACTCCGGGATCATGACCTGAACCACAGGCAGATGCTTAACCGGTTGAGCCACCCAGGCGCCCCTATTTTATTTTTTCAAGTAATTTCCACAGCCAACGTGGGGCTCGAATTTACGATCCCTAGATCAAGCCTCCCGCGCTCTACCGATTGGGCAAGCCAGGTGCCCCTGAATGAGCTCATTTTGGTAAATATCTCCATTTTCCAGATGAGAAAACTGAGACTTAGAGCTGCCTGTGGTCGCCCAACTAGTATTTAACGCCTGCAGAGCTTGCGCTCTTTATCCCTGGGACTAGGAGTGTGTTCTACGAGGAAGCGGGAGACTAACGAAGAGTCTTCCAGCAGCGCAGAAACCCGTGCACCTCCTCGACCGCCAGGGTGCAAGGCAAACTCCTTTCAAACTGGCTGACAGGCTCCTTGCGGACCCCGCCCCCCCGACCTCTTTTTCCTCCCCGCGCGCCTGGAGTGCGGCTTGCGATTGGCTGCAACCCCTGCCGTGGTCCCGCCCCCTCCTTGCGCAGCTCCGCCCTTCGGCGCCTAGAGCCACCGGAAGCAAGCATGGCGGCTCCCGGGGCAGCGGCTACAGACCTAGGTGCGGTGGCATTCGGGCGGGGCCCGCGGCTTGTGTATTGAGAGGGAGGAATGCGGGCTTTGGGGATTGTGGTGTGCTAGAGGTCCCGCGGACTGGGGGTCGGGGGGTCGTTTCAGACAAGATCCCTTCAGATTTGGGCGCGGGCCCCTCGCACAGGGATTCCTATGAACGCGGGCGGAGAGCCTCTGAGTGCCGGTTGCTGGGGCTCCTCCGCGTCAGGTGTGGGGCGGGCACCTAAGCCCACTTCCAGCGCCTCAAGTCGGTACCTCCGTACCCCCAGAGGTGGTCCGAGGCAAGCGGGCCGCTCTCTTCTTCGCTGCGGTGGCCATCCTGTTGGGGTTACCGCTCTGGTGGAAGACCACGGAGACCTACCGGGCCCCCTTGCCTTACTCCCAGATCAGTGGGCTGAATGCCCTGCAGGTGAGTCCTCGGTGGGAGAAGGCCAGGGGACAGCCCGCTGGCAAGGTGGAGACTCAGCTGATGGCCCTGATGCTCCTTACCCTAGCTGCGGCTCACGGTACCCATCACCGTCGTGTTTACCCGGGATTCAGTGCCATTGGACGACCAGGAGAAGCTGCCCTTCACCGTTGTACATGAGAGAGAGATCCCTCTGAAATGTGAGTCCCTGGGGAGTCAGGGCTGCCTTTCTGGTCTGAGCTCAGTCCAGAGATGGGTTAGGTAGGAGGAGCATGAGTGTCCCTTAAAGGTAGTTAAAAATTTATATTAAAAGCCCTCTCTGAATGAACAGTGTGGATGGTTAGAAGAAAAACAACTTTAAATTCAGTGTTCACCGTTAAGGCGACAGTTTTATTCATAAAACAATTATGCTACTTGATGAGAAGCAATTAATGCTCATTAGGGCATAGGAGAGGAAGTGGGATACTTTACTAAGTGTTAGGTACTTTTCAGTACCAGGAATCTTGGGGTGAATGAGGAATTGATAATGGTTTAAAGAAATTCATAGCCCAGTAGGGGAGAAAGACACTTAGATAAAGAAATCACAGTGAAGGGGCGCCTGGGTGGCTCAGTCGTTAAGCGTCTGCCTTAGGCTCAGGTCATGGTCCAAGGGTCCTGAGATCGAGCCCCCGCATCAGGCTCCCTGCTCCGCGGGAAGCCTGCTTCTCCCTCTCCCACTCCCATGTTCCCTCTCTCACTACGTCTCTCTGTCAAATAAATAAAATCTTAAAAAAAAAAAAAGAAATCACAGTGGAAATATGTAAGAAACTGAGATTGCGCTAAAGAAAGAGCCTTTAACTGGGAGGAAAGAAAGGCAGAGAAGGTTTTGAGGATGTCATTTTTAAGCCGGATTTTTAAAGGATGTGAAGGAATTCAGGTTAAATGGGGGAAGGGAGGAAGGGAACAGCATGAGCCAGTAATAATAATCGCTAATATTAGTTGTTCATTATATGCCAGAAACTAGGTGAAGCACTTTACATGTGTTGCCTCATTTAATCCTCTCTAACATTATTATCTCCATTTTATAAATGAAAAAACAGACAAGAGATTTTAATTTGCTCAGGATCACACAGCTAGCTAGTAAGAGGTGGAACTGGGATTTAAATCCAGGCCTGACTGATTCCAGTGTTCTGGCTTTTAACTGACAAACTCTACTGCCTCCTGTTTAGAAGCATGGAGGGGTGAATCAGCATGTTGGGGGATCTGTGAGCAGTTTTACTTCTCTGGAGTGTGAAGTGAAAGTTTGGGAGTGACTGGATGTGTAGGCCGAGTCCAGCCTGTGACGTGCCTGTATGCCATTTACTTTCTAGCTTTTTAACCTTGGTCACACACATTTTTTTAAAAAAAATCATTTCATGGGGCCCGTGGGTGGCTCAGGTTGTTAAGCTTCTGTCTGATTCTCCATCTCAGCTCAGATCTTTTTTTTTTTTTTTAAAGATTTTATTTATTTATTTATTAGAGAGCGAGTGAGAGAGAAACAGCATGAGGGAGGAGAGGGTCAGAGGGAGAAGCAGGCTCCCCACTGAGCTGGGAGCCCGATGCGGGACTCGATCCCGGGACTCCAGGATCATGACCTGAGCCGAAGGCAGTCGCTTAACCAACTGAGCCACCTAGGCGCCCCTCAGCTCAGATCTTGATCTCAAGGTTGTGAGTTAAGCCCCGTGTTGGACTCCACACTGCACAGGGAGCCTACATTAAAAAAAAAAAAAAAAAAAAAATCATTTCATACAGTTCAACCTAATGTAAACATAAATAGGTTTTGTTTCTCAAAACAAGAATGGATCATACCTCACATGTTAGTCCACAACTTGATTGTTGTCAATTTGTCATGGATTTCTTCGTATTTAGTGACAGAGTATTCAATAACATGGACATGTTGTGGAGGTAGTATAGTGGAGGGGCCAAGAGTATGGCATTTGCTGTAAGAGAGCTGGATTAAAGCCTTGGTTCTGCTACTTATTTGTGTGAATTTGGGTGAGGTTGTTAACCTCTCTAAATCTTGGTTTTCTCATCTGTTAAATAGGAATAGTAATAGGTTTGTTCATTTATTCAATAATAAATATTTGCTGATATATATATATATGTCAGATACTGTTGTAGTTGCTGGAGATACAGCAAACAAAATAGACAATACAGTGAACAAAATAGACGACAAAGAGGAGAACGGACAGTTGGAAGATAAAAAAATTAAATGTATGTTAGATTGGGGGGGCACCTGGGTGGCTCAGTCAGTGGAGTATGACTCTTAATGTTGGGGTTATGGGTTTGAACACCAGGTTGGATGTAGAGATTACTTAAAATAAAATCTTAAATAAAAAGGCCATGGGTAGCTCAGTCGGTTAAGCGTCTGCCTTTAGCCCAGGTCATGATGCCAGGGTCCTGGGATCAAGCCCCACATCGGGCTTCCTGCTCAGTAGGGAGTCTGCTTCTCCCTCTGCCTGCCACTCGCCCCACTTGTGCTCTCTCTCTTTCTCTCTGCCACTCACAAATAAATAAGTAAAATCTTAAAAAAAAAAAAAAAGAGTCGCATGCTTTACCGACTGAGCCAGCCAGGTGCCCCTTATTTTGATTTTTTTTTATAGATTTTATTTATTTATTTGAGAGAGCATGAGAGGAGGGAGGGTCAGATGGAGAAGCAGACTCCCCACTGAGCAAGGAGCCTGATGGTGAGACTTGATCCTGGGACTTTGGGTTCATGACCTGAGCCGAAGGCAGACTGAGCCACCGAGGCGCCCCTGATTTTTGAAACATAACTACCAGGGGCGCCTGGGTGGCTCAGTCGTTAAGCGTCTGCCTTCGGCTCAGGTCATGGTCCCAGGGTCATGGGATCGAGCCCCGCATCGGGCTCCCTGCTCTGCGGGAAGCCTGCTTCTCCCTCTCCCACTCGCCCTGCTCGTGTTCCCTCTCTCGCTGTGTCTCTGTCAAATAAATAAATAAAATCTTTAAAATAAATAAATAAATAAGTAAAATAAACATAACTACCATGTCACACCTAACCAAGTTACAAATAATTCCTTAATATCACCTAATTTCTTTTTTTTTTTTTTTTTAAGATTTTACTATTTGACAGAGAGAGACACAACGAGAGGGGGAACACAAGCAGGGGGAGTGGGAGAGGGAGATGCAGGCTTCCCGCAGAGCAGGGAGCCAGATGCGGGGCTCGATCCCAGGACCCTGGGATCATGACCTGAGCTGAAGGCAGACGCTTAACGACTGAGCCACCCAGCCACCCCCCCAATAAATTTTAGGTTCAACTTCTCAATTTCGGGGGAGGAGGGCGAAAAAATCCCTTTGGGATTGCCTTACAGGTATAGATTAACTTGGGGAGAATTGACATCCTTAGAATATTTAGTCTTTCCATCTAAGAACCTTGTATACTTTTCCCATTTCATTCAGATCTTCTTTTATGTCCTTCAGTGAAGTCCTCGGTGTTTTTCTTATAGTTTTATACATTTCTTCCTGGGTATTTTATGTTCTTTATTATTATGGTGATTGGGATTTTAAAAAACACTTGCTTTTCAAATTGGATATCATTGGCACTTATCAGAAAGCTACTAATTCTTGCGTATATCTAGTCATTGTACTGAATTGTTACTAGTTCTAATAGTTTTCCAGTTGGTTCTCTTTGATTTTCTTGGAAAATAATTATGCTATTTCAAAAAGTGGCCGTCTTGTTTCTTTCTTTCAAATATTCATGTTTCATGTCTCTTTCTTCCCTTATTACATTGGTCAGGAACTTCAGAAAGAACAATGCTGAATAACAGAGGAGAGAGCAGGCATCCTCAATTTATTATTATTTTAATTTTTTAAAAGATTTTATTTATTTATTTATTTATCTAGGGGAGAGAGAGAGCACGAGCAGGGGGAGGAGCAGAGGGAGAGGGACAAGCTGACTCCCCGCTAAGTGTGGAGCCTGATGCAGGGCTCGATCCCACGACCCTGCCTGAGCTGAAATCAAGAGTCAGGTGCTTAACTGACTGAGCCACCCAGGTGCCCCTTATTACTAATTTTAACCGAACTACATTTAGTGTTTTGTCATTAAGTGTGCATCTTATCTTTATCAAGAACATTCATTGAATTTAATTATTTTGAGGCACGTATTGAAGTGGTCATATGGTTTTTCTCCTTTCACCTATTAATAGAATGAATATTGTAATAGATTTCCCTTTGGGAGGGTACTTCAGGTTGATGGTAGGGTGTACACAGGCAGAGGCAACAGCTAGTTAGGTGGGAGAGGTGGGGTGTTGTGTATTTGATATCATCCATGTAGAAATCATTAGAATTGACTGCAGCTTCTTGGTCTTTCTTTGCAAACAATATTCTGGCTGTCCTGAGACACCGGACAGTGTGAGGGCTGGGAAGGTGGACAGGTCTGTACTTAGTCTTCTTATCTTGCTTCTTCCTTTTCCTCTCAGACAAAATGAAAATCAAATGCCGTTTCCAGAAGGCCTATCGGAGGGCTCTGGAGCGCGAGGAGGAGGCCCTGTCACTGGGCAGTATGCAAGGTACCGGAAGGGGTGATCACGCTAGTTTAACACGAAGCCCTCTTTTTCTCTTCTGATCTCTAAGTGTGTATTTTCCATACCTTGTCTTAACTTCAGAATCTCTCTGGGAAAGCTGGGAATGAGATATTGTGTGTTTCAGCCTGGGCCACCAGGGGCCGAGCCTGGCCACAGTGTCAGCCAGGTGTGAGTGGGAGGAGGAGCCGTGGCTGAGGCCCTCTGTGGGGGCCAGAGGGAAAGGGAATGGTGTTTTTGCTCCTGGTGCACCTTCTGCTCTTGTCCCCAGAGGCAGAAACCGTGTTAGCTGAGCCACAGAAGCAAGCAGAGGGCTCCCTGACTGTGTATGTGATCTCTGAAAACTCCTCGCTTCTGCCCCAGGTAGGGTGAGCAGAGGTTGCGGCTTCTCGTCCTGTCCTAGGTCGCCTCTTTCTTGCAGTAGTGCTCCCTATTGCTTGCATTTGTTACAGAAAACTCTTTAACAAATAGTTTTTTTAAAGAATGCAAATAGGAAAAAAAATAGAATGCAGATAGGGATTTTTGTTCATTGACTCTGGGTCTTTCTTTCTTTCTTTCTTTTTTTTTTTTTTTAAAGATTCTTCTTTATTTATTTGACAGAGAGGGAACACAAGCAGGGGGAGTGGGAGAGGGAGAAGCAGGCTTCCCGTTGAGTGGGGAGCCTGACCTAGAGCTCGATCCCAGGACCCTGGGATCATGACCTGAGCTGAAGGCAGACACTTAATGACTAGGCCACCCAGGCATCCCAACTCTGGGTCTTTCTAAAGCCAGGAGTTATATTCAGTTCAAGCTCTGATGACCATTTAAAGTGGAAAAAAAATCAGGATGAAAAAAAAAGCTGGTTTGAATGGCTTGTGGTGGTAATATGGGCCGACACATTGACCTTTTCACTTGATGAGCAAGAGGCTCAGTGGGAGCTATGCCACGTACCATTTTCTTTTACAGTTTATGATGAAATATGTAATTCTTATAAAAAGATGAAAGAAAATTTTAATGAACATCCATGTACCCAACCCCAGCTTGCATATTGCAGTTTAGCAATATAGCTGAACCCTGTGCATCTCCATGGTTCTACCCTGCTCCCTTTTGGCCCAGGGTGACCATATTTTGTGTGTGTCATTTTCTTATTTTTCTTTCAAGTTTTATCACCTGTGTTGTATCTTAATAACATATTCAATTTTACAAACTTTTGAACTTTATATTAATACAGCACATGTTCTTCTGCAACTTGCGTTTCGTCCCACATTTATGTTAGAGAATCATCCATGATAATCAATGTGCAGTTAAGTCTAATATGTTCATATTTTTTTAAAGATTTTTTATTTATTTATTTGACAGGGAAACAGCGAGAGAGGGAACACAAGCGGGGGGAGTGGGAGAGGGAGAAGCAGGCTTCCCGCAGAGCAGGGAGCCCGATGTGGGGCTCGATCCCAGGACCCTGGGATCATGACCTGATGTTTCATTATAGAGACATATCACAGTTTATCCGTCCTGTTGCTGATGGGCAGTTGAATTGTCTCCGGTTTTTGACTCTTAGAAATAATGCTACTGTGAGCATTCCTGGCTTGCCTCTTCGCCATGTGCTGTCTACTTATATCAAACTTTCCAGGTGTTTGTTTATTCTGCTGTCCTTGTTCAGCATAGCATCTCCTAGTTTCCAGCCCATGAAGCTTTAGATAATGCCTGGAACTTATGTCTGCTGGGAAGGCAAAGGGAACAGAAATGAATGAAAGCATTCATGACACCGATTGGTCAGAGGTGTTTAGATAGGGGTTCACTATGAATCTAAGGGGAGGGGTAGGCCTCTTGGTCAGTGGCAAAAAGTCAGATTCTCTGAGACCGGAGCCAGCACGTTCTTCTGTTTTCTTCCCTGAGCCCTGGGCATTCTGTCTCTTGCTGGTCTCTCACAGGACATGATGAGCTACATCGGGCCTGAGAGGACAGCAGTCGTGAGAGGGATCACACACCGGGAGGCCTTTAACATCGTCGGCCGCCGTGTAATCCAAGTAGCGCAGGCCATGTCTTTGACCGAGGCCGTGCTCGCTGCGGCCCTGGCTGACCACCTTCCGGAGGACAAGTGGAGCTCTGATAAGAGGCGGCCTCTCAAGTCCAGCTTGGGTAGGGTGACAGGGCTTTGCCGTGAGAAGGGACAGGGAAATGAATGATGTGGAGGCGATGGGGCAGGAGGGGAATCTGCGTGCGGACTCTTTACTCCTTTCTTCTGTGGTTTCACCTTTTTAGTTAAAGCCCTCAGTGCTTCTCATCCCAGTTTTATCCTCCCTTGGGTTCCATGATGGCCATTAGCCCCATTCCAGAGGCGAGACGAGTTCAGCTCAGCCAGGCTTCTCTGACTCCTGTTTCTCTAGGCTATGAGATCACCTTCAGTTTACTCAACCCGGACCCCAAGTCCCACGACGTCCACTGGGACATCGAAGGGGCCGTCCGGCGCTATGTGCAGCCCTTCCTGAGTGCCCTCAGTGCTGCGGGCAACTTCTCTGTGGACTCTCAGGTGAGACTGGGAGCAAGCCGAGGAGTCCCTTCCCAGGCCGCACCGTCCTTTCCAGAGTCCATGCGTATTTATTGTTTTCAAGTGGAGTCTGTTCTTCCAGCTCTTAGAGCTTGCTGATCTGCTGGGAATTGCCTGTGCGTTGATATGACTCTAGTGTCTGCTTTTCCTCCACGGTGTCCAGCTCAGGGGCTTTTGTCAAGGTTTGTTAAAAAACGACCTTCCTTATGACCCCGTCGAACTGTATTCACCCAGTCGTGCCATCCTTAAGGAATTTATTTTAAAAATAAAACTTCCTGAAATATGTTAATGGAGTAGAAGTAAAGATGGAAAGAATGTAGCTTCCTATGTGTGAAGAATGTATCACACAGTGTCCTTTTAGGGAAAATGTGGGAGACGTTTTTATCAGGTCTTGCTAGTGGGAGTACTTCTGAGTAACTGACTTGAATTGATCTTGTGGACACTGAATTATGCTATTCTTGTTTCCCTCTTTGTTTAGGCTCTTAGAAAGCCTGGTAAAAAATGTGATTTCAAAGCATATATTTAGTGTATTAACTTTACTCTTGGCTTTGTTATTTTTTTTTCCTACACCTATTTTCTCTCAGCTCTGATTTTGTTTCTTTATATTTTGTCCTGTCCTAACTGTATCTTTTTAAGGCACTTCAAATCCTTTTTGGGACAAAGTGGAGCATGAATCAATACACAAAATAATGTCCTCCTTCTTTGCTTTACAGATTCTTTACTATGCAGTGTTGGGGGTAAACCCACGCTTTGACCCAGCTTCTTCCAGCTACTACTTGGCCGCACACAGCCTCCCTCATGTCATCAACCCAGTGGAGTCCCGGCTGGGTGAGCTGAGGATGAGGGTCTATCTGCCAGGCTGGGGAGGGACCCTCAAGGCTCAGTGTGGGGTTGGAGACTGGTAGTATATAGTTATGGTTCCCAGGTTGGGTGGTCTGAGGGCGTCAGGGAAGTGCTGGGCATTTAGGCTCTTTTTTCATGAGATTCTGTTTACATGTCTAATTTCACACTATCATATCCAAAAACATTTATTAAAATGACTCCCAGTGCTTTTTGTAAAGAAACGGATAGGCTGCATCTCCCTCCGTGCAAGCCATCCAGGAAAGATATGGTCATGCACGTAGGAAAGATAACAGCAAAAGTACATGAAGGCAGAATTTGGATGGACAGTTCTGCTGATCAAGGTTTGAAGCTGGAATTCCAGTCTTTCATTTTGAGGGTGGTACCTACAAAGAATAAGATGACCACAAGCTATAATACAGGCAAACCAAAGTTAGTATATCACTGGTTGTGGGATTTCAGACAGTAAGGTGAGGCCAGTGTGGACCACAATATGAGAGGGCCCAGGTGATCCCTCCCTCCCTCCCTCGTTCCCTCTCTTCCTTCCTCCCTCCCTCTGGCAGTGTGGAGTACAGAGATTCAGAAGGGCTTTCCAGGTAAGGAAAACTCTGAGCTTAGATGTAGAAGAGGCAGAATGGATTGGCATTCAGGAAGCTCGCAGAAGTTTAGTGTAGCTGAATTGTGAGGGAGTGACCGAGTTGCAGCTGGCAAGGCGGGCTGGTGCCAGATCATAAGGACCATGGTAAGTAGCTTGAACTTCTACCTGGTGTGAATGGCTAGCTACTGAAGGATTAAGAGGGAATTGACATGAGGTCTTTTTTATATTTATATATAAAATGGGTTATAATTATATGGGTGTGATGTAGCAATGCCCAAGAGAGTGGTCTTAGACAGTCATGGGGGGCCTGTTAGAGGAGGGGAGATTCCAGGGGCCTTTGGGGGGCTAAGGACTCTACATGTATGTGGCACATCTTGGGAGAATGTTCAGAGGAGGTTCTTGACCACAGAAACCCAGGACTGGAGGATATCCCGGTGAATATCAGCTAGGGAAAATGAGGACCAGAGTGAGTGACCAGAAAGTTAGAGAGGCTGACCTGGAACTGAGATTTAGATCCAGCAGGTTTTGGTATTCTGACTTCCCTTCTCTTTGTACCACAGGATCCAGCGCTGCCTCCCTTTACCCTGTGCTCAACTTTCTGCTGTATGTACCTGAGCTTGCCCACTCCCCGCTGTACATTCAGGACAAGGATGGGGCTCCAGTGGCCACCAACGCCTTCCACAGTCCCCGCTGGGGTGGCATTATGGTAATGATCATAAAGCCCCAGCTTTAGGGACAGACAGACGTTCCTAAGACTGTTCCTTCTGTTGTTCCTCTAGTGTCCTCCATGGCCCAGCCTGTGGGAGGGGCAGCACTAAGGAGGTGCGGGTGCTATGAGCTCGGCCCCTCCTCTGCCGGCCCCACGGCTTCTTATTTCTGTCAGTGTTTTCTATGATATGACCCTTCTACATGTAGCAGTTGGCACTTACTGAGGACTTCTCTGTGTGTACATCTTAGATCTTGGCCCTGTTTGTGGGAGTCTTGCAAGGCTGGGAAGTTTGTTTCTCCTGTGAGACTGGGAGTTTCTCATAGGTAGGAACTCTTAAAATGGAATAAAAAATATTTTTTACAGGACTTTTGAGGGGATAATGGAGATAATTTATGAAAAGCTCCTAATAGGTATTCGAAAAAATATTAGCTATACCATCAGGTTCGTAATTTCTAAAGACATTTCTAAAAAGGTCTCCTTTTTCTCTCCCCACCTCCAGAGTGTCTAGGGCAGAGCCGTGAAAGGTCCTGGTGTGGTCCTGAGGCAATCTCATTTCCCCCTGCAGGTCTACAATGTGGACCCCAAAGCCTACAATGCCTCGGAGCTGCCAGTGAGGGTTGAGGTGGACATGGTGCAAGTGATGGAGGTGTTCCTGGCTCAGTTGCGGTGAGGTCCTGGCTCATGCGCCTGGGGGCGTGGTCACTGAATCTGACCCCAGTCTCCTGAGCGGACTGGAATGAAATCTCACCCGGCAGGGACACCTCAGCTGTGCCTAGAGCCCCAGGGAAACCAGGAAAGGTTTCTAAGGATCACCTTACCCTTCTCCTAAGAAGGAGTAGTTGCTGACAAAAACTGTTTGAAGAAAAGCAGACTCCTGAGTGTCAGGTCTGTGGGGTGTGATTAGGGGTGCTTAAGAAAATAGCTACTAATTCTGAAGCTAACTGGTACATTAGTGGCTGCCTGCTGCCCTGTGTTGAGGATTCTAGGGCTGTGCCTGGGATCATCAGGAAAGAGGATTCTGGTAGATTAGCAATGTCTGCCCTGGGTGCAGGATTAGAGAGGCACAGCACAGGTGCTTAGTAGAAGTGGTGCTGGATCAGGGCGCTGGATAGTTCAGTCGAGGAGCGGCTGACTCTTGGTTGTGGCTCAGGTCATGATCTCCGGGTCATGGGATCGAACCCTGCATTGGGCTCCATGCTCAGTGCAGAGTCTGCTTGTCTCCCTCTGCTCCTCCCCTGTTTGCTCACACGCACGCGCTCGCTCTCTCTTAAATAGATAAATAAAATCTTGAAAAAACCAAAAAAAGAAGTGGTCCTGGATCATCCCTTAACTAAAGGCTCAGTGGTCCCATTTGTCCAAAGAGAGGGTAGGCAGAGTGAGGGGATTAAACTAGGTTGGTATTACCAGAAATTTTTAGCCATGGGACCTTTTTTCAAACAAGATCTTGGAAATCCAAACCAGAAACAGATAAAAGCAAAAACACTGGTTAAAATGGGGCCTGAGGCTCTGTTTTGCTTAGTGTTGCCACTCATTCCCCACCCTGACAAGACCCTGAGGCACTTCCCTGTGACTGGTGATTCTGGGTAAGATTGAAAATCTTAGTCATTATTCTAGGAATATTAGCCATTTTCTACTCTCAGCCTTCCTTACTTCACTCTTCGACAGGCTGCTCTTTGGGATTGCTCAGCCCCAGATGCCTCTGAAATGCCTGTTTTCAGGGTCCAAGAGTGAAGGGCTAACGACCTGGGAGCTCGACCGGCTGCTCTGGGCTCGGTCAGTGGAGAACGTGGCCACAGCCACCACCACTCTCACTTCCCTGGCCCAGCTTCTGGGCAAGATCAGCAACATTGTCATCAAGGACGATGTGGCATCTGAGGTGAGTGGGCAGGGGATGGTGTGACCAGAGTGGCCAGCAAGGGCCGGGGTGTGGTGAAACCAGAGAGCCAGTTGAGGCCCAGGGTGTGTGTGGGCATGCCATCCTTGAGTGCCCCAGGCTTCCTCTAGGGGGCAGTGCCAGGTCCCCAGCCCGACGCCAGGTGGGGTGTGAAGGTTTAAGCAGGCACACGCATTAAAAAAAATACACCGTAGCCCTTTTACACTGGCCTCCATATCGTGGGCAAACTCCAGGCAACGTGCCTGGTAGATGGAAGACACAGTAAGACCCATCCCCCCTCCCACCCCAGCACCTCCCTGGTGCCTGGTACTTACTGGTAACCCCCTGCCCCCTTCCTAGGTGTACAGGGCTGTAGCTGCAGTCCAGAAGGCAGCAGAGGAGTTGGCCTCTGGGCACCTGGCCTCTGCCTTCATTGCCAGCCAGGAAGCTGTGACATCCTCGGAGCGTGCCTTTTTTGACCCCTCGCTCCTCCACCTCCTCTATTTCCCTGATGACCAGAAGTTTGCCATCTATATCCCACTCTTCCTGCCTATGGCTGTACCCATCCTCCTGTCCCTGGTCAAGATCTTCTTGGAAACCCGCAAGTCGTGGAAAAAGCCTCAGAAGACAGACTGAGCAGGACAGCATCTCAGCAGGAAGCCTTCCTTTCTGGCCAGAATGGGAGCTGTTAGATTGAGAGGCACAGAAATGGGGCCTGCCGTGAAGGACTTAGCTCCAGTAACCAAAGTACAACACTCCAAGCAGGGTTCCTCTTTCCTTCCCTTCCCATTCCTCTAGCTCAGGTTCCCCCCACAACCTTTGTGCCCTCCCTCTTCCCCTTCCTCCAGAAGATAGTCATTTGGGTCTCCTTATCTGGCTTAAACTTGAAGGCCCTTTCCTTTCTCCCTCGGGGCAGGGGCAGTTTGTTGTGCTTCCGTCCTGTGTCCTGTTCGTCCTGTTCCTCGCAGTCCTCTTGAACTCAGAGGGAGCATTAGGGGAAAGCCCTGGGTTGGATTCTAGCCCCCTCCCCTCCATACTTCTCTCTGATCCCTCAGGGAGAGCCCTAGCACTGCTCTCATGGAAGGGGCCAGGTCACCTCTGGGGCCTTCTCCTCTCCTCCCCTCCCTCCTGGCTGGCTGTGCCTGTTGGGTATAGCCTGATGCTTTGCGTGTGGCCGAGTTTCCCTTCACCCTTTTATAGAGGTAGTGTGGTGCAGTGGGGAAGGGTCCAGACTTTGGTATCACGCATGCCTGAATTCAGACCCTTGTTTCTGTACCTTCTGCACTTCTCGTCTGGGGAGCATTGAATAAGCCACTTAATCTCTCTAGCCTCAGTTTTTCATTTGTTCAAACAGCACTAATGATACCTCCCTTACAAGGTGGTTATGAGGATTAAATGTGATAAGCATATGAAAGTGTCTGGCATATTTTAGGCTTTCAATAAACATTGGTTGAATGTGAATTGGAATGATATGAAGTATGAGCATACCTTTCATTCTTCATTTGTGTCCAAGTAATGGTTTCCTGCTATCTGTCCTGGGCTCACAGGCCCAGCTTGCTTAGACCTGGCCATGTGCCCTACAGAGAGGCCCCGCTTCCCTGCCCTGGAGGGCCCTGTGGTGGTGAGACGCCTAGGCTGTTGTCCCTCAGCATGTCCAGGGACATGCTGTTAGCATCTACTTCTGCCTTTTTCGCAGGGGGTCTGGGAGAGAATAGCTTGTACCAGTGTAAGCCTTTAAATACAAACTCATTCATAAATAAAAAATATATTAAGCATGGGCTGCAACAGGCACTGTGCTAACTGCCAGGTATTACAGAGAACAAAGACAGGATCTCTGCTTCCATGGAAGTGATCTTTTAGGGGGGAGAGTCAGTGAACAAAAACTAATTTCAGATAATGCATTAGAAGGGAAAAACAGGCTGATCAGATGGTGACGGGGGCTTGTACTTTAGATTGAGTGAGGGGGCGTGGCCTTTGAGCAGATGACATTTGAACTAAGACCAGAAGAGGAAGCCATTTCGGGGAAGAGCATCCCAGGCAAAGATCCTGAGGCGGGAACTTGCTTAAGGGGCAGACGGAAGGACAGAGTGGCGGGAGCGCAGCGAGTAAGGAGTAAAGGTAGACAGGACTCCTTAAAGTACCCAGCGAAAAAAATGAATGAAGCCCAAGGCGAGGCCCCACCCAGCCCCAGGGGAGTGGACCCAGGTTGGCGCGCCAGCAGCCTTTCGGCTGGGGTGGGCGGGGCCCGTGGCTGGCCCACCCCTGGGGGCGGGGCGGTACCTGGGGCCCCGGCCGGGGGCGGGGCTGCAGACGCTCCCCCTTCTCTCGGCTCCAGCCGGCGCAGGCAGCCGCCGCGGCAGCAGGCGAGCGGCGGCCCGGCGAGGCCATGAAGGTGAAGAAGGGCGGCGGCGGGGCTGGGACGGGGGCGGAGCCCGCTCCAGGGGCCTCCGGCCCGAGCGTGGAGCCCAAGCCCGAGCTGCAGCTGCAGGCGGAATCCGAGTCCGGGTCCGAGTCGGAGCCGGAGGCTGGCCTGGGGCCCAGGCCGGGGCCGCTGCAGAGGAAGCAGCCGATCGGGCCAGAGGACGTGCTGGGGCTGCAGCGGATCACGGGCGGTGAGCACCGGCGAGGCAGCGCCGCCCGCGGCGGGAGGGCGGGAGGGAGAGAGCGCGGGAGGGGGCCCTCGCGGGGCGCTGAGCCTGGGCCCCCGCCCCCTTTCCCGCCCTACCTCCCCTCCCCCACCCGGGTGCCCCTCGCCTGAGTTCCCTACCCTTCTGCCTCGGAGCCTGAGATCTCCATGTCCCCTCTTCCCTTGATCTTGTGCCCGCCTCTTTTCCCTTTAGACATTTATTTTCACCCTACTTCCTTTCTGAGGAGGCCGTCCCCCTTTCCCGTGGTGGAGGTGGGGCAGCAGCTGCAACTGTGACCCCTTCCCCGTGGAATCTTCAGGGCCCTTTGAGGCTTTTCTCTGGAGTAATGAGGATGGGTGCTGAGTGCAGTCTGTCCTCAGTCCCCACCCTGGAGGCTAGGCGGAGGCTGAGCTATTTAGGTGACATTAAGACCCTCCAGTCTCCCTGACCATTAAATGCCCTCACTCTGGGTCCCCCAGGAAGTCTGGGTCCATTCTCCAACCCCAGGAAAGAACCTGGGCAGGAAGCTTCAGTGGGTTGGCTCTGGGCCCTCTTAAGGGAGTAGGTTAATGTGTGTGTCGCCCCCCCGCCCCCCTTTAGCCTGTCTTCTTCCGGGAGGCCTAGTCTCTGCTGTGGTTGAGTTTCTGAGCTGAACTGCCTGGGTTGAAGTCCCAGCTATGCCATGTAATTGGCTGTGTGACCTTGGGCAAGTAATTTCACCTCTCTGAGCATGTTCATCTGTAAAATGGGGATGATGGCACCTACTTTATAGGGCCTTTGTGAAAACTAATTTTCTGATTTTGTTTAGTGCCTGGCATACTGTGCATGCTCTGTAAATAGGGCTCTTTTGTAAGTAGTACCGAGGGCCCCACAGGACTGCTTATGGCTGCTGCCTGGGGGCAGACAACTGGGCATTCAGGGCAGGGGAGGAGGTTACCACAGGCAGGGAGCGACGACTAGGAAGTCTCATGGCAGAGGCAGCGGCTGAGCCTCAAAGAACGGAGGCATTTGGAGAGAGAGTGGCCCTCTACCTTAGCTTCGTTCATCAGTGATCCTGCCCCGACTTCCTCCGTGAGAGCAACTCCTGGGACCCCTCTCTGGTGGTGGGGGGCAGGTGCTGGAGTGGACCTGAGCTCTGCAGTTGCAGGAGCAGCAGAGCCCGAGGCTGCCAGACAGAGCCGTGGAGGGGACTGTAATGGCAGATCTAGGCCTGTACATCTGGGGCCCTGGGGGACCAGCCTTCTCCCTCCTGTCTCAGCCAGGCAGCAAGTGTTCTTGGCTGGGCCCCCAGAGCGCTGAGCTGCCTTGCCCCAGCAGACACCAGTAGACAGAGGGGGCCTGGACCAGTCTGATGTTTGTGCCAGTTGGGCTGTCACTGGCAACAGCAGCATTTAGAATGGGGGCAGAACTTCCAGGATGTTTGGAGGTCAGGCTGACCTGTCTGGGTCTTCAGTAACTTTAGAGCTCACTTTGCAACTGTGGGGGCTTCCAGCCCATGTACTGCCATGTGTCTCCTAATTTGGAGGAGAGTCATAGCCCTTAGAGATGGGGTGTTTGTGGGGGGATGAACAGGGGAAGGAAGGGGCTTCATGGGAACCCTTTCCTCTATAGCAGCCGAGAGCTGGGTTCCAGGGAATCTCCACTCTGGCACCCCCTGGTCTCTTTTGACCCTAATCACACAGATCTAAGGTTTGCTCCTCCTGGATTATCAGCCCTGAATCCAGCTTAGGAAGCTATTTGTGGCAGAGGGAAAGGGGGCAGTTGTGTTCTGAGCCTTTGGCCACTCTGCCCCTTTATCTGGCCTGACCCTGGGTCCCAGGCTTCATCCTTCCCTTGGCCGAAGGGAGGGTGTGGGTGCAGCCTTCTGAGCCACGGGCATCCCACTTCCCTCACTTCCTCTAAGGGCAAAAGGGCTGATAATTCCAGGTGTGGTAGAAGAGGCTGAGGGCAGACTGTAAGAACTTAACTCTGGCATGAGAGGGGAGACTCCAAGAGCAGGAGAATGTGGAGAAGGAAGGGCTTTCCCGGGAGCTGGAGTTGGGCAGCTAGGATTCTGCTCCCAGTTCCGCCACCTCTTCTCCTTGTGACCTGTACTTTCTTTCTACATCTTTGGACCGGTGCTTACTTTCCGTGAAAATAAGGTGTGTCTAGGGTGAGGGAAGGGCTGCCCCCTGGCATTCCTCCTCTTTCTCTCCCCACCATGGACTGTGGCGGACAGGCCAGGGATCTGGCGCCTCCCCCAAGCCCTGCTGGACCCTAGGGTGCCAGGAGGCTACCAGGAGGGCCTCCTGGAGGGGGCGGCCCCGGGCTTGGGGAAGAGAGAAGGACTTTACATTCACTTCCTCTTCCTGCCCCAGAGGAATAGGAGGTGGCCCAGGGGCCTGGAGGGTGATTTCCGGGCCTCTATGGGGAGGATGTGATGGCTTTCGGGCTGACAGCACCAGACCCACCACTCCTCCTTTCGGTGTATTGCCAGGGCCTCCCTGAGCACTTGCAGTTGCTGCTGCAGGAGAAGTGAGGGTTGGGTCAGGCTCTGATATTCCTAAGCAAGCTTCCTCAGCCACGGCTCACCACTGTTCCCAGTTCCTCTTCTGGGCCTGAGGACTCCCTTTCCCCCCATGCACACCCCCAAATGCACCTGCCACACCCTCTTCCTGGCTTTGCTTGTACTCTTCTCTCTGGGGGTGGCTCAGAGCTAAGGTTGGGTAGATGAGCTTTCAGGGGGTTCCCTCTGTTTGCTAAGACTTCCTCCCATTTGGAGATCAACAGGGGATGGGAGCAAAGGTGGCCCCCTTCCCCCAGTATTCCAGGATCTGGGCTTGAGTCAGCAGAGCTTTGGCTAAGCTGCTTAAGGGAGCTGGGCTTATATAAGCCGCTTATGGGGCGAGGAGGGGGGTGGGGAGGAACCGGGGAGGGGTTGTTGGCCTGCCCTAGCACCACCCAGGTCAGGGAAGTCCTTGCCTGACACTCCTAATGTAGCTCCAGGGGCAGCTATGTGGTGGAGGGGGGAATGTTCTCCAGGGAAGTACTGTGTATATCCTGAGGCAGAGTTATGTCACCCTCTTTAGCACGAGGTTCTCAAAGGCAGGGCTGTAACCCTCTCGTGCTGGGGCTCCTCATTAGATTGGGGACCCATCTGGCTCAAAGTCACTGAGCTGGCCCTGGCAGAGCAGAGGCCGGAATAAGGCCCCACAGCTCCAGATGGGAGGGAAACTGTGGGGGTGGGTGGCCTTGTCATCCACCCTCCTCCACCCTGCCCCCCTCCCCGGCCTCCAAGGCCTCAGAGGATAGAGCTGTTGGTCTCTCATTAGATTCAAGTGACAGAGCTGCATATCCCCCACACTCTGAGTGCTCTCTCAAGGCAGGGACTCAGTCCTCTCTTTCTGGAAGGCAGTGACCTTCCGGAATCAGAGAAAGTGGTAGCTAGTCTGGGGTTCCCCAAAGGCTGAGCTGCTAGCAGGGGCTTCTGGACGGGTCCCTCTTTTGCTTAGCTGCCTGTCTTCCCTAGACTACCTGTGCTCCCCCGAGGAGAATATCTACAAGATCGACTTTATCAGGTTCAAGATTCGAGACATGGACTCAGGCACTGTCCTCTTTGAAATCAAGAAGCCCCCAGCCTCAGGTGAGCGGTAGGCCATCGACAGAAGGACGACGTGGGCGAGGGCTGTGAAGTGGGTTGCCCAGGGATTCCTCAGGCTGCAGAGGGGTCAGAGCAGGGCTGGGGCTGGGCCTGGGCCTCTGCTTTCATTTCCCATCTGTTTCTGGGGCTGGACATCTTGGGAGGACAGTCTGGCCCCTTTGGTCCCTGCCAGCCTGCCCTCTGCAGGCCTTCCTGGGAAC